GCAGAGGCAGAGTATCGGGCATTGGCACTTGGCACATGTGAGATTATCTGGCTACGATCGATTCTTGACGAGTTGGGTTTTTCAGTGACCTCTCCATCCACATTATATTGTGATAATCAATCTGCTATTCAGCTCGCTTCTGACTCTGTACTACATGAGAGAACGAAGCATATAGAGATCGATGTTCACTTTCTTCGGGAGAAGGTCAGCAGTGGTCTTGTTACTCCATCGTTTGTGGGGACCAGTGATCAAGTTGCGGATGTTTTTACCAAACCTGTCACTCTGTCTATTCTTCGGGACTCCGTTGTCAAGCTTGGCTTAATTGACATTTTTGCGCCTAGCTTGAGGGGGAGTGTTGGAGTATAGATAGTCTAGTTTATTAGGATTTCTTTTCCCTTTTTTACCCTTACTATGATTTTTATATTTTGCCTAAACTACAAGGATGTTTAAGTCACTCTGTATTATTTTTGGATATATATACGGGGCTCTACTCTTAATTTGAGTATCCCTTTTTCACACACATTCATTCCAAGTATACTGAAAAAGGAAATTAATTAGACTTTCAGCTAACAGTATTTCAGAGAATTTGTAATTAATTAAATTCTAGCATATACTAATTGGTTACCGTAAAAATCCAAGTAGCTGTTAAGCCACCAAAGACAACAGAAGCAAAAAGCAACCAAATCGGGATTAAGGCATAAGAAGAAAGCATGCCACCCAAGTAGAAGTAATCTGAATGCGATGTCAGCATGGATGCCACCGAGAAACAGCCATAAGGTAAAGCAACCGCCACAGAAGCACTGACAATAATACTGCAATGGTGGAATGACTCTTAGTTCAATAAATAAGTTAATAATTGCAAATTTCGTAAGTCACCCTTGACAGAACAAAAATCAAAAGGTCAAATATATAGACATCGCAGGGCATACACCAGAAACAGGTCATACATTTGCCTCCTGTTTCATTTTGGAAGAAAGATAAACCACTTAGTCAAGATCATTTAAATACCATTCATAAATTTCCAGCAAAAGGAAAATGCAGTGAGCCAGATTAAAATAAACAATCAAGGGGTTGGAAACAAATTCAAACCTTGATTAATTAAACTGGCTGTGACATGTGAAATGTTTTCCACAATTTTTTAATGAACACATACATCCAAATTTTTAACATAATATGTTTTCCACCTTTACTCTACTCTAATCAAATTTCTTTCAAATTGAGAAAATCCCAAGGAATATCTCAAATCCTAAACACACTAGGTTGGTAAAATCTGTCATTAAATGTCTGTGCTATAAAAACATTCAACAATCTTAGTCATCCCAAGAAGTGTAGTTTTGGACTGCAAGAAAGTTCTAACTTCCAAAGGTGATCCACAAAGGAGATATCTCCACCAGATACTCACAGGCAACCTAGTTTGTAGTGTAAAATATATCATGACCCAAATTCCTGTAGTTGTTAATCTGCAATATACAAAGTTACAATGCACAACACTACTTTTATATTGTTTGTGAATTAGTATGGACACTCTCAAATCCTAAACACAGAATTTCGTGTGAAGCATCCTGGTTTTACATATGGCACACGAAGTCCTTGCAGTGGAAAAACCAGCAGAGATTGGTAATTTTTGTCAGGCATCAGTTGCTTAATATACAACATAATGTGAGAGATAACGTAACAACATAAAAACATGAGCCAAATAAAAACTAAAATGCTGAAGTAAATCATCTAGGAAAAAATATACACAGGATGCAGCAATTTTACCCAGTATCAGTCAAGATGGACAAGTTACTCAAAGGACCAATTGAAGCCCCTCCCCAAAATGCAGTAACAATCAAGATTGCCATCCTTTTCCACTGCTCATAAAGACGTATAATAAATTCAAGGTAGTAAAATTTAAATAGTTTATCAAAACAAAACTGCCACGGAAAAGGTAATAAGCAAAGATGGGTTATGGACCTGTTCCCATGGTTTTGTTAAGGTGAAACACGCTGAGGTCAGAATAAATTCAAGTCCTGTTAATAAGCCGCCAATGTTGGAAAGGAGGTGGAAGTAGGCTCCAGAAGCCAAAGAGATGAGAATACAGAACAATGAAAGGAACGCCTATGGCAAAAACCCAGCAAAAGAAGGATTATTTATCTTGCAAAAGCAAACAATGATCTAACACAGAAGCCAGACATGAAAGGGAACAATATAATGGAACCAATAATTCAAAGACATGAAAAGCAACAATAAAATGGAACCAATCATTCAAAGTATCACGATCTGATACAGAATTTCATCTACAAATGATCCCAAGATGCAATCATTTCGACTATAACAAGCGAATCACACATTGAGTCTATTAAATAAACCAGCCAAAAATATAACTGACATCAAGAAAATTAAAAGAATCCTTACGAAAACATCACCAATATACCATTACACTACTTCACAGAGTCAAATCAAGATGCATATTCAAGAACACAAAATTGAAAATCGCACCACAGAATAAAAATTCATGCCAAAACAACAATCTGATTAAGCCCCAAAAATAATGAAAAGAACAAGAAAATCAAGAATCAAGCACAACTGTCATGCATAGTAAACCTACAGAAAAACAATTTCAAAGAACCACAGAAAAAACAAAAAGGTAGAAAACTGAAACTCCTTTTGTGCCGCACAAACAAATCATGGCGGTTTGAGAAAATAACACTATTATCCCTGAAAACAACCCTGACAAAGCATCAAAAACAAAGGATTTAATCAAATAACCATCCAAATCTCATGAATATGTAAAACCTAACAAATATCAAAACAGAAATCGAAAGGTTAAACTGAACTAGAACTTCAGAACTTAGAAGTTTAATAAACATTATTCTGCTTTCTTTATCAGTTTCCAACATTTTCAGGGCAGCCAAACCGAAAATCTCAAGGAAAGCAAAAAAGAAAAAAGGAGCATCAGTTTCAGACATTTTTTGTTTCCACAAATTCGACAAAGTGAAAATTGAAAATTCATAAGCTTAATACTCGTAACTCTAATTTCTTTCCCGCTTTCGTGCATTTTCTCGGCGGTCAAACAGAAGATTTGAGAGAGAAAAAGCATATTCAATACCTTGCTCAGGCGAATACGAACAGCCTGCGGGATGAACCCAACATTCCTATCCGGATCCATTGCATTGACTGTATTCGAAGAAGCAGTAGAGAACTGCATTTCGCAGAGAGAGAGAGAGAGAAGCAACGGGAAAGCTTTCAGTCCGAGTGTGAGAAGTGTGAATGGCCAACTGAATCCTGCGAGCTGTACATGTAGTCTGTTATTCTAGAGAGAGAAAGTTGATGTTTTACCCCTGTCTTTCACTTTCGGTTTTATTTACGGGATGGTTAACGGGGGCTTTATGGAGTTTATAGAACTTTTCAGGTGTAATTTGGGAACATATCGAAATTGAACAAGTCGGTTGTTCGCGGGAATGGAAGAGAATTGAAAGAGATGAAACCGACTCAGATTGCTTTGCAGGAAGCTTGGAAAGATCTCAACCGTTGAATTCAGAGAATTGCACCACCACCGTTGGTGACTATTTCGAGAGATACTTGGAGAATTAAATAAGTTATTGGTATGATGCGAAGGGAAAAATATGGTCCTTAACCGGGAGAAGTGTCTTTTTATGACACTCAGGGTATTGTGTTGGGACACGTGTCAAAGAGAGGAATAGAGATAGACAAATTCAAGGTTGAATTAATTTCAAACCTCTCTACCCATAAATGTAATTAGCCCAATCACCTTATATGCACACTTCATGGCTAATCACCCCCAAAATAAACTAAATATACAATCACTTTATAAGATTCACGATTGCATTTACCATATGTAATAAGTTTTTCAACCCATAGATTCCCTTTAGTAGAGATATTTTACTCACATACATCACCCCCTATTGTTAAATATTTTCAATACATTCTCATATCATGAATTTAACAACACAATCCAAAAGTTTTTAGCTGCAAGCATTTACAAACATCAACAAAGAAACACATGGAACGAAATGCTATACCAAGGTGTGTTTTCGTCATGTTCTCATAAAAACTTGTGTGTAGTATNTGGAATGAAATGCTATACTAAGGTGTATTTTCGTCATGTTCTCATAAAAACTCGTGTGTAGTATGTGTTGACTATATCAAATCAAAAGACATCAAGTAACTCACCTCTACAAGAGAAAATTAGAAATGAAAATTGAAATTGGAGGGGTGAAAAACAAATTAGAATGAAGTTGGTGTTCTTCGTTCAAGTTATAAGTTGTAAGTTCAAGTCTAAAAATTTAAGGAAATGACATTCACCAAAAAAATTATAAAATTTTTGAATCCCAAGTGATGTGGCACAATGATAATTATTCAACAGTTGGTGAGAGTTTGTGAATCTACTGATCTTATGATTTATATTGACTTGAGATTCAAAATTTGATAAAAATTTTGGTAGATATAGCATTATTGAAAAATTTAATACATATAAGATAGGATAGTATCCAGAATATGAGACTTGTGTCTATAATGAGATCTAAGATATATAAATGACAATAGTTTAACCCCATCTATATGACTTTTTTTTTTGATGAAATCCACTATTTTTGTCAGATTAAAATGGACTCCATATTTAATTCAATATTAATCAAATAAGGACAATGTATTTAATCTAAATAACATTACACTAATAAAACTCCTCGTTAAATCTCTTTAGAGACCTTGAACTAAGGATATAAACTGATAAATAGGGAAATTGCACGTGCTCAGCGTCTAACCACAACCCAACCACCTGGAGCTCAGCCAAATTCTACCCTTAAGGGACCCATATTAGTTTGACTCAACTAACACTTCCACTTGGCCAACAAAGACAAAATCAAGGGAGCAAAATAACTAATTCAACTAAAGTAGGCGGAGCAAGACTGTGGCCTAACCACATGACCTATAAGAGGGGAACCTCACAGGAGATCGAGGTAACTGACTAAAGCTAATACTAAAGCTTCCTTTGATCCTAAGAATCCCCTCGACTGACATTATCATCCGAGGGTCGATCTCCAGAACCCCTCCGGTCTCTGACTTATCTTTGCAAGGTACAAGAGGATTGTTCTAGCTTGTTGTTGGTTCTGAAGCTTAGTGGACATTTTGAACCATCATCAGTTGGCACCATTTGTAAAAAATGAGAAATTTTCCAAACATATATATTCAAGAGACTTAAGGTCTAATGGTGAACACAAGATCAAAGGATCCCGTCAGGGATCAAACCCACAATAACAAGCAACCAAAGTCGTATCCAGTGGATAGGAAGACCACAACACCTCCATAAAAGGGGACAAAAAGGGTAAATAAGCTAGAGAAGACTGTGCATTCACTGGTTCATTAGAAGCAGCAAATCCTTCAGATTCTCACCAACTAGCATCATTCAGAGAAAATTTTTCCCAGATCCAGGAGGACAGAGACAACAACAATGGGAATGAAGTGCAAAGCCAAAACGAAGTTATCCAACCACAGATCACTAACCAATGGGAACGAAAGTTCAAAGAGGTCAATGAGAAAGCTGGAAATATTGTGGAAGATCGAGTTCTAAAAGTTATGGAAGCTTTGGCACAACACACTGAATCTCCATTCACCCAAGATGTCTCAAATTATCCTTTCCTAGAGAGGTTTAAAATGCCAATAATGGAGAGCTTTGATGGTTTTAAAGACTCCCTCGACCACTTGGAGACTTACTGACCCCTTATGATACTCTATAGTATTCCAGATTAAATCATGTGCAGAGCTTTCATAACCACCCTAAAGAAAACAATGAAACACTGGTTCAACAAGCTTACGCCCAACTAGATTAGCTCATTTGAAGAGTTAAGTACGCCCTTTATGTCTCATTTCGTTGGTAATTGAGTACATAAGAGATCTTTCACTTACGTCCTTAATATAAAACAAACCAAGCATGAAACACTTAAAAGCTTTGTTGGCCAATTTACCACGGAGTCATTACAAATTGACAATGACGATAACAAGGTGGCTCCAACCAATCATCCCAATTTCTCTTTTCCATGTCCAAGGATCCACCCCAGAACATGACTGAGCTCCTATCGATAGCCCAGAGTCAGATGATTGCTGAGGACATTCTCCTAGCACGGAGAAATCAAAAAGAGAGACATGAGGACAATAACAGGCATACGAAGGCTCTTGGAAGAGTTCTTGAGACATGTTGGACTCCGACAAAGAGGCGTGTTTAAATCCAAACCATATAACGGTTCTTTGGCGATTAAATCCACATGAGCCACAACACCATTTCCCAAGACACTAACGGACAAAAACATTAAATGTGGAATAAGTGTAAGTCATGTCGAGTTAAACTGTGGGCAACTAATAAATTGGGAATAACTCCAGCTAGGCGCCTAACAACTCCCTAACCTCCTAGAGCTCGCTAGGATTCTACCCTAAAGGGACCCATACTAGTTTGATTCATCTGACATTTCCACTTAGCCGGCAAGATTGGGTTAGGGGAGCAAAATAACTAATTCAACTAATATTAACGCTACACTAATTAAATTTTAAGATTAAATTTAAAATCTAAATAAATTTAAAATTTAAATAACATGACAGTTGACTTGAATTTTTTTATTTAGTATCATGTCATTTAGATCCTAATAAAAACTCTAAATAATATGCTGTCATGTTCTTTGAACTTTAAATTTAATCCAAAAATTTAAACAGTATAATATTATTATTCAACTAAAATAAACAAAGCAAGATCCGCTAATTAGGAGATTGAAGGGGAAGTGACTAAATCTAATCCTAAAGCTTCCTTTGATTCTTACAATTCCCTCAACTGACTTTTGAAAGTGTTCGTAACCCCACATTTCGTCTCATTTCTCTACATTTATCGGCATCCAAACACGGGATTTAGAGAAAGAAAAATATTCATTACCATTGCCAGGTGAATCTGAACAAGTGGCCGGTTCATCCCGAAATGAACATTCCAATCGATATGAAAATAACTATTCATTGTATTGCGATGAACAGGGAGAAGAAACGAACGAACAGCAATTTTGTAGGGAGAGAGAGAAGGAACGTGAAGCTCTCGGTCTGGTTCTGACCGAAGAAGTGAACGAACAACTAAGTGAATCTTGCGAGCTGTATATATAGTATGTTATTCTAGAGAGAGAAAGTCAAGTTATACCCCTGCCGTACACTTCCGGCTTTATTTACGAGATGTTTATCGTGGGCTTCCTGAAGTTTATGGAAATCCTGAAGGGTAATTTGGAAAAATGGAAAAACAGAATGTCGCGGGAATTGGAGAGATTTTAAAATACAATAAACAGAATGCTTAGCTGGAACGTTGACAGTTGGCAACGCAAGAAAAATTTATTTCTATTCACACTTCAAAGATTGTCAAAGGACTCGTATCGAATTTTCGAATTATAAAAATTATCTTGCGTCACAATTATTTAATTAATATCTTAGTTATTTTTTATTTATTTATAACTATATATAATCGGATGTATGTCACATTAGATTTGTATCATGTATAAGAAAGGTAAAATTAAATTTGTGTCATGTATAATTAGATAATTGTAAAGCTATTTACTTGAAAACCATAGCAGGTCTACCCGTTTAACTCTCAAATTTAATAAGACTAAACTCAATTATGCTAAATACATATTGGATTCACATAAAATTCATAAATTATGTCTAAAATAATCAAATTTTTGTGATTGAGCACAAGTTTAAGCAGTTTAGAGAGAAAGACACACACACACACAGATACAACAACTTATGAGAGAGGTGAGAAAATTTTTGGGTATTGGTAAGAGGAGAATTGAAGATGACTAAGTGTTTAGCTGTTCAATTTTGTAAGTTCAAGACTACAAATTTAACATGAACAACAACATAAGGTCGTATTTAGAAGACACGATTTACATTTACAATAAAAACTAATGTAGATAAATGGTAAATAGTCTTATCTCATTGAAGAAAGTCCGATTTTTCAGTTGATAAAATTGGTTAATTTAATCTACTATTGCCTTGATTTAATAGTAGATTCAACATAGGATCCAGTATTAACCCTCATGGTGAATTTGATCAACAATTTTATCTTAGTAACATTACTCTAACAATACCCCTCGTTGAATCTCTTTATAAACCAGACAGGCTACAAAAGCACCGGCTGATCCGGTTTGTTCTGGTGGCATCGGGAGGGCGGTGACGGGGTGGTGGGCAGCGGGGGTTCCACCTCCAACAGGGGTGCTTGCTGCCACAACATTGACTGCTAGCTTCATTCCTTGCCCACAATGACCAAATGAAGGACATATGAAGTACATTGTCCTGAGTGATTTCAGACGTTGGTGTTTGGCCACCACTATAGCACAATTGATATCACTTTTTGTGCAGTAATTAAAGAGGACATAAAAGGGACAAATTACACTAACGTTCATGTACTATATTCTCGAATAATATGTAACGATTTTATATTGCGAAATATATAAAATAATTATCCCCATTTTGAATTCATAATGGACAATCTACCATTAAAAAAATATGAGAAACACAAATATTACACAATGTAAGACTTCATATTTTGTGTAAAGTAAAAGTCTTTTGTGATTGAACACATAGACTTCATATGCATATGAAGTTAAGAGAGAGAGAGAGAGAGAGAGAGAGAGAGAGAGAGAGAGAGAGAGAGAGAGAGAGAGAGGACAACACATGCAAGTTTGAGTTTAGAAATTTAACATGAACAACATGAGGTTGTATTTAGTGCATACGACTTACGTTTGCAATAAGAATTGACGTAGATAAATAGTAAATAGTAATATCTCATTGAAGAAAGTTAAGACTGTTTTTAGTTGATAAAATTGGTTAATCTAATATACTATTGGTGTGCATTGATAGTGGTTTGTACTGGTGGCGTAACTTTATTAGCGGGGGTGGTTGTCAAGGTTGGACTGGCCGAAGAAGTCGAGCACGATGGCAGTGTCGGGGATGGCGTCCACCTCCAGCAGGGGTGCTTGCTGCCACAACATTGACTGCTAGCTTCATGCTTTACCCACACTGACCAAATGAAGGACATATGAAGCACAATGACCAGAGTGATTTCGGGCTGATTGTTGTTTGGCCACCACTATAGTGTTGGAGATATAAGATCTCCTGAATCACGGGATTAGATCCATCAAGAAGGGGCAGCAGACTTCGAAGTACATAGTGAACATTTTTATTTACACACAACAATCACAATGTAAATAGTGTATCAATAAGAGTGATAAAGCCCTTCTGGGCAGTTGGTTAGTAGATGTAGACCTGAATAAGACGAACCTCTGTGTTCCTCCTCATCTCCCATTATTTAGTGAACATTTTTATTTACATATTTGACTGTAATTCTTAACTGAAAAATAACGATTAACTGCAATTCAATCAAAAGGAGATCATTTGCATGATTTTGAACCATATGGTGGTTATGTTGGACCAATGCTAATGATGAGCGTATAAATTGGAATTTCCCCTTAAGAACAGGGCATGTTCCTCAGGGTTTAAAAGAAGCATGATAGTTTCGAAGGAGAGAGAGCTCATCTACAACTAGGTGTCAATGTGAAAGTGATTAATCATGAGAAGAAGGACCCAAAAAAATAAATAAATAAAGATTTTATATTTTACAGAGACTTACAACCATTCAAACTACGTATCCTAAGAAAGGACATTGACTCAGAGACATCCATACTTCCAGATATACCCCAGAGAGAGAGAGAGAGAGAGAGATGTTTGTCAAACTTCTCAAAAAGAGGGGAAAAAAACAGTAATCATTCAAGCACCAGATTGGCTTTTCTATGCAAGCATGTACATCATGTAACAATTGCTTAACAGGTTATGAACTCTTGTGAAGGAGATCCACCCCAAATTCAGTATCAAAATGTTATGGGAAAAAATGTTTTAAGGAGGTAAAATGGCTATACAGATCATACGTAAAGTGCTTACAATATTATCTAGACTCGATGCAGATGGGGTTCAATTCAACTCCTCTTTTTCTTCTACTCCTTATCATTCTCAGCTCCTTTCTTCAGCTGCATCAACAAAGAAATAATCACATTAAATCACTCCTTAAACATGTTGAACTGAATAGAAGCAAGAACTTAGGTGGTGCTCACCTAGGTAGTGATAAGATGAATGGGGTCAACAGCAAAAATAGCTAAAAGGATGAAAGCATCTTTCACATAGTCTAGGTCCCCATGGCGAGCCCCCTCAACAATCCACTGGCTATAGATCACTACAAACAGCAAATACAGGAGGAGCCCAACGTGCAGCTGCCAATGATAAAAAGTTGTTGAGTACTAATTCTAAATTTACATCAATCCTCCTTCATTTATTTTGGGTGGGGAAGACTTGCTTTTTGGACTCCCTTTGTAGGAGATTAACATGCATTAATAACAGTCCAATTTGTACCAACTAGAAGGTGGACACAATTTCCATAATATCCGTCTATAGAATCTTCCAATGGTATAAGGATGAAAAATCTGTGTTAAGAGGTTTAGCTAACAGCAGTTCAGCTCACCCAATTTAAAATGTATCCAAAAGATAATCTTTCTAAAATCCATTACCTGGTTTTATCATGTATTTGACTTTAAAATTTGAAAAATTTCTAACACAGAAACATCTTAAGTGACTGCCAGTATCTTTAGATAGTAGAACTGGTTTACATCCAACATTTCCAATTTACACCTAGGCTGCTGAATTATTTCAACAAATGTAACTCACTTAACATGAATACATCATAAAAGCTTTCCATGCTACAAATTGGCATTGGTACTAAATTCTAGCATAGAGTAATGTTTTTACCACACACTTCCAAAATATTGGATAGTCGCCAAAGACGGTCGAAGCAAACTCCAACCAAATTGGGATTATGTGGCTAGAGGAAAGCAGGCCTCCCAAGTAGATGTAGCCCCTCCTGTGACTCAGCATGGCCGCCACAGAGAAACAACCAAAAGCCACAGCAATCGCCACATAAGCAGTGAAAATAATCCTGCAACACAGGAATGTCTTTTATTTCAGTAAAGAGTTCATAATTAGAGATTTTATATAAGTCGGATGGTTCAGGACCGAAAGCAAAAATCACGTGGACATGGTCAAATTTCTAAGCATTGAGAAGCGTACACCAAAACAGGTAATATATTCGCCTCCTTTTTATTTTGGAAATAGGTAGACCACTCTGTCAAGTTCTTTTAATGAAAGAATGCCAATCCAAAAATTTCCAGCTAAAGGAAAAGAGGCAATCAGCATGCTTACAACACAAAAGGAAAAACGAAAGGCCATTTGCTAGCAGATCAAAACATTCAACCATGAGATGCAAAACTAATTAAATTCCTTCCAATTTGAGAAAAGTAATAAAGAATATCCCGACTTCAACAATCTTAGTCACCAAAGAAGCATAATTGTAACAGCGGATCACAGCGTATAGTATTGCAAAAAAGTTCCAAAGGTCATCTACCGAGACAACATCTTCATTCGTTTGAGCTGATACTTTGTGGTAATGTAAGTTTGGTTAGTATAAAATATATGATGACATCGCTTGTGGACACCTTAACGGCCTGCTCCTACTTCTATGGATATTGAGAGGTACCCCGGAGAGAGAGCCATTATTCGACACTTACAAAGAAGGAATATTAGTTGCCTCAACTAACAAATATTTGATATTTGTTGCAATAAAAGGGATGAAATGCACCAATGGCTGACTATAGGAGATAGTACACAGGAGATGAGCAACCCTATTCAGGTACACACTACTCTTAAGCTAGGCTAACCGGGTCCTTTCATTTAGAAAGGAATTCCCCACCTGGGGGTAGAAGAGTTAAGACTTCAAAGCCTTCTTCTTAGCTAGAGGAGAAGACCTTGCATATGATAGAACTAGCGGCTAGAATTTCTGCTGCCAATGATGATGCTTAATCAGACCAAGTCATTTCAATACCTAGCTACTAGGAGAGGGATGCCCTTCGAGGGCTAGAGTTTCACAATTCCTTATTGAGCTAAGAGCACACATAAATAAAAGATCCCACTTTTCGCTGCTCTATATTTTGAGAAAGTGGAATAATAAAGACCGGAGTACCATACGCCTGCAACAACAACAACAACAACAACAACAAAAAGGCCGATTTGAGAACTTTTGGAGAGGCTCACGGGCTAGATCCATCGCAGACCACAAACAAAAGCCTTTACTAAACTAAGAAAGGTGGCCTCAAAAAAGATTTTCAAAAGACTTGAACCCCAAGAGCTGATCCAAGCAAGGGCATTTCGGCAGTTGGTCGGTCAAGACCAGTTGGGGACTCTCCCTTGTAATTGTGGTTAGGGATAACAAACATAAAACAATACTTATAACATTTAATATTGTTCGTAAAGTAGTACACTTTTGGAGAAATAATTTCTTGCTAAGTGTCCTTGTTTTTCCTATGGACACGCTATGCCCCTGAGACTGGAACAGCGGAGAATTGGTGACTGTTTTGAGGCTTTATATACCATAATTAAAAATACGGCAATAATTTACAAAGAAAAGCCAACAAAAACTGAAATGCTGAAGTTAATCGGAAACAAAAAAGCACATAGGAGCAAAAGGTTTACCCTGGATCAGTCTTGAAGACCAAGCCAAACAAAGGACCAATTGAAGCCCCTTGACAAAATGCAGTAACAAGCAAGAGAGGGACCCCTTTCCACTGCTTGTAAAGAGATACAGTAAGAATAGAGTGTAGCAAAACAAAAACTACCACAGAAAAGGTAACAAACAGGAGTGAATTGCAGAATACCTCATTCCATAGTTGTGCTAAGATTAAACACATTCCAGTTCCGATACATGCAAGAAGTGTTAATAAGCCCCCAATGTTCCAAAGCAGATGCAAGTAGGCTCCAGAAGCCGAACTCATCAGAGTACAAAACAAGGTGAGGTAAACCTGTGGCAACAACCCAAAAAATAGTAAAGGAACATTTACCTTGTAAAAACAACACCTGCATGCAGGTAAAAGGAAAAATCTGACATCAGAAGAAACAGATGCAATCAATTTAATTAAAACAAACAAGCAAATCGAACCGAAGGTTGATTAAAAGAAACAAGCCACTGTTCGAGCTGAAGAATCCTCACAAAAAAATCACCAATTTACCCCAATTACACTCTATCCAAGGATAGAATTAAGACGCATGTTTCAAGAACAATTGAAGGTTGCACCGCACAGACTAATAGTTCATATGAAAGCTACCAAGTAATTTGGCCAAAAAAATGCTGAAAAGAACAACAAAAGAGAGAATCAGATTGTCGTGCATCGTAAAATTACACAAAAGCACTTCCAAGAACTACAGCAAAAAATAGTGAATTCTAACAACCCGCTGATGGTTATTTTAACTAAGTATAAAAAAACTCATGAATATGCAAAACCTACCAAATACAGTAGAATTTATTTGTTTCCAAATGTTCCAGTCTTAAAACCATGGAGTTCACGGAGTTTGACACTCACTATTCTACTTTCTTTACCATTTGCCTACATTTTCTTGACAACCAAACAGAAAATTCAAGCAACAAAACAAGAGGAAAAATGCATAGAACATCAATTCCAGATATTTTTTGAGAGAAAAATATGCATTACCTGTATCAGGTGAATTTGAACTGGTGGCGGGTTCATACCGAATAGAACATTCCAATCGATTTGAAAATACCTATTCATTGTACTGCGAATACCAGTGCAGACGAAGCGAACGAGCAGCATTTTTTGCAGAGAGAGAGAAGGAACGTGAAAGCTCTCTGTCAGAGTAATGAGAAGAAGTGAAACGAACAAGTAACTGAATACTGAGAGCTGTATATACAGTCTGTTATTCTAGATAGAGAAAGTTATCGCTTACCCACCCCTGTCCTTTCCTTTTGGTTTTATTTACAGAGTGCTTATTACGGGTTGTGTGAAGTTTTTGGAAAATTCTAAGGGTAATTTGGGGAAATGGTAAACGGAATAGTTCGGATGTTCGCGGGAATATAAGAGATTTCGAAATTGATGCAACCGCCGACTGCTTAGCTGGAAGCTGGGAAGATCTGAACCGTTGAATTCAGTATTGGAAAGGACACGTTGTAACCTCTTGTTAAGGGTTCAATTAGCAGAAATAACCAACATTCATTACAACTCAGGCAATTCACACATACACAACACCATAAACAGAATGAAACTAAGAACAAAAGGAAGATTGAACAACTCTACCTATGATGAACTGTCCATTAAATCATATCAACACAATACTGAATCTTATGAACATAAAAAAAAAAAAACCCACACAATCTTAATCTTCAAACCACAATAGCACTGCCTCTTGCCTAGGCCATAAATGCAACCACAATCGTCGAAAATAATCCGACCACCAGACTGTTCAGGCTAGCAAAACCACTGGCTGCTCCGGTTTGTGATGCTGGAGTAACTTTATTAGCAGGGGTGGTGGTTGTCGAGGGTGGACTGCCGGAAGAAGTCGAGCTGGAGGGCGGTGATGGGGTGGCGACCGGGGTTCCACCTCCAACAGGGGTGCTTGCTGCCACAACATTGACTGATAGCTTCATGCCTCCCCCACAGTGACCAAATGAAGGACATATGAAGTAGATTGACCCGGGTGATTTCAGGGTAATTGTGGTTTGGCCACCATTGTAGGATTGAAGGGCATTGCCAGTGGCACAATTGTCATAGTCATTTTGATTAACTTGGTCCACACTGTGGCTGCTATCATAATTGAACACTGTTCATGAATATAAGAATTTGGTAAGTATGTAATATTGAAATCAAATAAGCAAATAGAGGGTGTCCAAGAAGCCCCTCATACGGTGAATGAAAGCTAAAAGAAAAGAGAGAAAGAGAGAGAGAGAGAGGTTGCTTAGTGTGTGCATAATTATGTTAATAATACCTTCATTGGTATTAGAGTAATGTTAGATAGATCTATTTTGCTAATCTAATTATTTACCGTCGTTGAATTATTAGTGGATACAATATTAGTTTACACCAATTGCCAATCCAAGGATAGCCATGGATTAAGTCTAAATAGTAATATTGGAATTCCTAATACTACTAACTCTTGAAAAGTCACTTACAATTTTCTGAATAGCTTTTAAGTTCACATTTACAACAATTGAAAAAAAAAATGAATACTTTCGACAAACATTCTAGATCGACATCACCTTCCATATGTTTTTTTTAAAATTTCTCTCAACAATAGTTCATTCAACGTGATTAGGTAGAAGACTCTCCTATGTACATAGAGCATATTTGAATTCTTGAATGTGGTAAATGAATCGGTAAGTGTAACGATATATTGTTAAACGTGGCTTAAACTTTAAAGTTGAATCAACTTACAAAGTGTGTCGCCGACGTTAAACTTTTCGCCGGCAGCCCAAGTAGCATAATCTCCGGAGTTGGTCCAGCCTGAACTACCACCAACAACGTGCTGCACGGCATAGGTGGCCGGAGCGGCAAGGAGGAGGAGAAGGAGAGCAGCTGCCATGGCCATGTCTCAAGTTTTTTTGAATGCTGAATGAAGAAGAATGTAGATGAGATGAGGCACAAATGTGGAGAATGGTCTCATAGTCATAGCTATTTATATAGAAACTATGAGTTATGAAAACATGGGATTTTAATAATTTGGAGGGTAGAAAAATGTTCCTAATACCAACTACTGTTTTTCTTGTTAATTAATTGTGTCTGAAATCATTTGTGTAATGGCCTCTTTCTCTCTCTCTCTCTCTCTCTCTCTGTGCCTTCTGGCTTTGAAGAGTTGTGTTTGGTCATCAGCTATTTAGAATAAAGATAAGGACATGGACACCAGTCGTAAAATGGGGGTTAAGATCTACTTCATAACTCTAACATATAATTTCATTCAATGATAGATCATTTAATCTAAATTCAAATGATGTTAAACATAAGTGGGTCCCTCACTCATAACTTATATAGCTAGATGTTCTATTATTGAGTGAAATTGAACAAAAAGATAATGAAAAGTATTTGAATCCGTGAACTTTCGACATAGAGACATAATCAGTGTGATTTTCACCATGAAACACACCGCTACAACAACTTCAACCAAGCCAATTAATTAAAATTGACAAATTAACCCGCACAAATATTCTAGTGGTGTGAAATTATCTCTAGTGTTTCCCAAATTAAACTAAATATCTATAGTATGTTGGTGATTACGCGTATCTTAAATTTTTTCTGTAGGGGTGAATCTGAAGTAATTTCGCATTAGAAAGATTGGTTGTCAGCAAAAAAAAAAACCAGTATAAGTCAAGAGCTAAGATAGATGATTCTCAAATGGCACAGATCATGCTCTCACCATATCAACCATTTTTTATACAGATTTCAATAATTGCCAACTAATGTTTGTATGAGAATCAAAGCATGATCCCAGTGGTTCTTTTGGTCGGGTCACAGATAATTTTATTTGATTTCTCTTATGAAATAATATCAGATATTGACTTATTATCAATCGGGTTGTTGGTAAGACTTCACAATTATTAACCCGACTCACTAATTTTATACGAAATCATTGAATCTATTATTAAAATACTGTCATTTTCAAACAAAAATACCGATCTACCGCACTTTTCAATATATTTATCGATCTACTGCAGTTTTTGAAAACGAAATTATTAAGTTGAAAAGTGCGATAGATCGGTATTTTTGTTTGAAAATGGTAATATTTTTGTAATAGATTCCGAAATCGTTACTAATTTATTGGATATGAGTTTTGATTATATTATACAAGCGTTCACATCCCGTGTAATGAAAGAAATTATAATTTGTCATCTCCTTTTTATTTTAATTTTTTTATTTATTCGTTTTCTCTCATTCTGTCACTTGTCACTTGAAAAGTTAGATACGTAATTATAAAAAAAATGGATGGCAAAAAATAATTATTTTTGAATATTTGGAAAATTTCATGTTAATTATTGGCTAGTTAAGGGTGGTTAGAAATGCACGTATTGGAGATCTGATTGGACAGACTTTAGATTTTGAATTAAAAACTCAAAATTCTAATAATTTAGGAAATGGTGAGAGAAAGATTTTTAAAACCCTATTCCCTCTAAATTCTTCGTTTTTTCATA